GTAATATCGCTGAATATCCGGCACTGAGTACCTGTGTTGTAAAGAAACAGTCCTGTAACCTTCATTTTGCAGGACACTAAATGGAAACAGAGTATTTAACTCGCCGGACTGTGTTCCTAATTTTTTAACTAAAACTTTACAGTTAATGTAAAATACCCACCGCTTTTGCATTTTTCAAACGTAAACTAGAAGAATTTGGAAAAACACAAACAACAAATGTAAGTAATCCATGCAGGCATTGGCTCTTGCAAGGCTGCATTGAATGCATCTTACCTCTTGAGCTAAAGAGTGACTTAACAAAGAATGCCGCACAAAGTCACAGAAAATCCATGTTTACCAACTATGCAACACATGGTAAGTTGTATGAGTGGTGGAAAGGCCACTAAAAAGTTGGATATAATCTTTCTTTCTGACACAAGAGGGTCTTGCCTCTAAAAATATGCTAGGAGAACTTCTGTCAGTGCTGAATGATTCTGTGAAATCATTGACTTTAACTTCATGAAAGCTTGCCCACTGAATTCGGATAATTTCACAACACGAAATGGGCAATGAAATCGGTAGCAAACATAAGATGCGCTTAGTGCACACAAAAGTGCACTGGTTATCATGCGGCAATGTTTTGACATGCTTTTCAAGTGAGATGTGAAGTTTAGCAGTTTTTGTGTGGATGACCCGTTTGAGTTGTCATCTTGCTTGCATGAAGAATACTGGCTACAGAAACTAGCGTATCCAGCAAACACTTATTCTGTTTTGAACAATCTGTATTTAAGTCTCCAGGGTGTCCCCGTCATAGGTCGAAGCAATATTTAAAAAAAAAAAACTAAAATTCTGGGCTAGCTGTGTCCAACAAGTTTCCCTTCAGTGCTTTCCAGTGCTCAAAGGATTCACTGCAAAAAAGAAAATGCTCTTAAATAAGCAATCTCGATCACCAAAGTCAGCAGCTGTGAAAATACAACTGACACATCTGAGGGCTGGATGCAAAATCCGTTTGAATTTACACCCCCGGTTCCAAAGCTGTCACTTTATGAACAAGAGAAACTGATGGAGCTGATGTCGGATAGGGGACTGCAGTTACAGTTACAGTTACAGAAACCACTGGTGCATTTGTGGGCGCTAGTAATGGCAAATACCTGGATCTATCAAAGTCAACCTTGAGGGTATTAATGCCCTTTGCCACAATGTACCTTTGTCTTACCTGCTATGAGGCTCGTTTGTTTTCGGCACTGACAGCAGTAAAGACAAAGCATCGCTAAAGGTAGGATGCTGAGAGCGATATAAGGGTATAACTGCCTTCTATTAAACCTGACTTTGCTAACCTTAATTCTGAAATGCAGGCCTACTCAACAGCAGGTAAGATATTATTAGTAGTAGTGAAAATGTGTGAAAACCATTGGGACAGAGGGTGCAGCGAGGAAGAGTACCATGGACAGCTCCTGTTGTATTTTCCTGTTAGTAAAATTTAAGATGACTTGAAAAATCTAAAATAAAAAATAGTTTTAATTTTGGACTAAAGCAGGTAATGAAGATTTTAAATATTGTAGGGAGCAGTTGTGGGACATTCTTCCAGCAATACTGTACAGTATGTGCTTATGTGAAAATGAAAAAGCAAGCTAAAAATATATTAGCTCAGGAGGTCTTTGTAACAAAAGACAAATGTCTGTCTAACCTGTGCAAATAATTTTATGATTTTTAGAAATGGATGTCAGATGATTCAAATAATTCTGATTAACCACTGGCAGCACAGTTCTACACCTGTAATGGAATACTAAACCCATAACAGACTTAAAGTGTCTGACCTCAAAAATATAATAATAGTGTTAAAGATGTTCTGTATTCTCTAACCAGACAGTTCTCACACTAAATTTGTGTCGTCCTGCAATTTTCTGCAAATTTGTCACCATTTTAGAAAGAAATAGCCAAAAGCTTTATCTACACACCAAAGCATTTCCCTAAATGTTTGTTTTTACTTTGATATGTCTTTTAGTATTACTTTAATATTTATAGTTACCTACTGTATGTTATAGTTAATATAATCTCTTTCACCAAAAACGTACTGTACAGAACCTATATGACATCCAGCAAGACTAAAATTAGTGGTTAAGAGTCATACAAATTATATATTGTATGACTTCTCTTAAGTTTTAAGTCTCGGTATATGTAAAACAATGGCATAATGCCTTTTTTCATAAGTACAGTATAAGAAAAAAAATGTACAGTGACTATTTTTTCTCAGTGTGTGTCGAAAGGGCAGATAAGTTGCATCATGCATTGGGTATATAAAAGCAATTACTGCACAAATGAGATTTATAAGATCTGTTACATGAGCATTGTTCTACTTTTCAGCAATACAATTGCAAGAATGAAGAACAGGTTATAGGTTATAAATTTACAATAACAAAAAGACATGGCACTTTGAAAAGGGCAAAGTCCAGAGGAATTTCCTTTGCACCAAAGTAAAAAAAATCTAATTACAATCATCATGTACAGTATATTCAAAATGCTGTTGTTCTGTGGTTTCAAATTGTAAGTTCATTTACAAAAGAAATTCAAGACCAAATTATGAACCTTAGATTAAAACTACATATTACCTATGAGGAGTCTTACAGTACAGAATGATCTTTCCAAGCACAACATATCCAAACCATAGTGGAATGTTACACTACATGTAACAGCCTAATTACATGTGTTGAAATGTGCAGTGGGTGTACAGTATATGATAAACATGAATAATACTGTGTATACAGTAACCAAACAGAACCTACTGTTCCAGCACAATGGAACATATTCAATTTTTAATGACAAGTACAGTCCCACCCAGCTAAGCTCACGCTAATGGTTTAGAGTAACTTTCTGTGTGGCTGCATAATAAAAGATCTTAAGTTTCCCCAGGCTTCCATAGAGATCCAGTCTGCCCGTGGGGCATGATATGACTCCTTACCTCAAGTGAATATCAAAGCGACTTTTTTGGATTTTGTGCTCAAAAAAGTCTCTGCTTTGGAAGAATTGCCCTCTATATTTATAAAGACAAAAAGCCAAGTATCAGCATTAAAGGCAGCCCCTCTATATCAGCAAGTACATCTCTACCATTCACCTTGGGTTACCTAAGGAACAAAGGATTTCTGAAGACCAGCCAGATAATATGGTGGTTTTTTTGTATCCATAGTACTGAACTGCACGGTAACTACCACCAACTATCAATGACATTAACTCCCAAAATAAGTTTAACCTCATTAAATCTGATAACACCTGGAAATGACTTATCGGTCCCAATATTCTCTCTCACCTTTAGACTATTTAGACTATATGATATCAGAAGCGATTCACTCACTACATCTTTACTTTATTTCCATTTATATTGCATTCCTTAGCAGAAAAATAAAACATACGTAATATGCAAAGTTCCAGTTATAATTTTTAAAAATAAATTATTCCACATTAAAAATAATAAAAACAACAGCAACAAAAGAAAACTTGAAATTTAAATTGCAATATTACATTCAAATTATAACAATATAAATTTATACAAGGTCACTTTGTGAGGGCTGTAATGCACAGAAGACTATTAAATGCATTAGTCACCAAAGAATAGGCTATACCAAACACATGTAAAAGAGACTAGTTCATCTGCAACTATGTCATTTTAATAACTCACACATATTAAAAGTGTTCTTAGTAATCTAAGTCAAGTAGTCTGAAAAGAACATGTTTTGAAAAGTGAAATATTTTATGCAGAATGTGGTACAGTACATGTATTTTACCAAAATTAAAAGTATCTCCTTCAACCCAAAAATATATAGTACATTAGCATTATGTACAGAAGATAAAAAACAGAATCTTTTATCCTTTTGAGTTGATGTTACTGCCTAAAATGGATTGACTGTGCTTATTCCTTTAATCTGTAAATCTGATGGAAAATTTGTCTTGACCAGTACAATTGCAAAAGCACATGTTTCTGGACTTAATACATCTACACATCTACTGCTACATCTGTTCTCTTTCTTTTTCTTTTCCCGTCTACAACCGTTTTTTGTGCAATATATGCCAGGGACCTGTGCAATACATTTATATCTATATTTACATCTATATCTATATTTATATTCATATGTGTGATACGATTTTTCTGTGTACTGTTCTGTTCTAGTTTGTTCTTTGAGTGTTCTGGACTGTGAGTAACTCTTTTAGTGCACTTCTCACTGTACTGATTGTATTGTATGTATTGTACTATTATTATTGTATCATTCGTTACACTGTGACTGTGTTGTCTGTGTTAAGCTGCTGTTGCACTACAATTTCCCTCACAGGATCAATAAAGTATCTATCTATCTAAAATTGAAAATAGACCAGTACCATTTTAGATCTCTAATCAAATCAATGAGACTGTTTTGATGGCCATTACTCGTAATACTAATCATCCAACTAAACTCCTGACCAGCATTGTCTAAAAGTGGTATCCGTGCAACTGGGAACAGTATATTTTTAATTACTTAATAATAGAAAGTCAGTAATAAAGTACAAAATTCCCAATGCTGTATGTAAAGTTTAAATTGTTCCTTCAGTTACTTGTTTTTACTTCAGCTTGAACAGTACTTCAAGATTGTATCACATATTTTTCAGTTAATGTGAAAGTATCATAACATCATTTCAGACAGTGATAATATTTAAATTTTGCACTTGAATACGTCTTCAATTAGTCATTTACATTAAAATGCATGAGTCTCCTTTTTAAAATATTTAACAGCCTTCTGGGGCTGTGTTTAAAATAAATGAAGGTAAAACAAGTGACAGTACATGGAATGCCACAACCCGTAAAATCTTGCTATTATATTCAATATAAAGAAACTATGTAAATATACAGTAAAACAATATTAACATTTGAAAAAATAAAGATTAGAAATATAGGATATGTGGGTGTTATGTAAGACTGGAAAAAAAACTTTCAGCATTGATTTGTTAAAATGTGTTTAAACATACACTATTTGAAGTTCTTAAAATAAACATACCCAAAGCAACTCTTGCAGCAGAGGCATCATAATTGATCCAAAATGACACCCAAGACAAGATGGTAATCAGAATTGAGGGCATGTAGGTCTGAAGAATGAAGTATCCAATATTTCTCTTTAACTTAAAGCTCAGAGACAATCGTGGGTAGGCACCTAAGAAAAGATTGAAGAAAAAAGGCTATTTACTTCAAACAGCACACAGGCATACATTATGTTTTGTTTCAGTTTCTATGGCAACGGCAGCATGCATTGGGTCTATCACTATGGAAACCAGCATTCTTGTTTCAAATTGCACAATGATTTTTCATTACTTAGTTCTGAGTAAAAAGCACATAACATCAGAGAATATATGTATAAATACATATACATTGGGCATAATTGCATTTAATTAAAAAATGCATGATATTATTGGAGATGAAAAGTCACGATACATTAAGCGTAGCATATACAGTACATGTATAGCACTGTCATCTGAATATGGAATGAAACCTACATACAGTACTCCGCATATTCCTCATGGGTTAACAGTATTTCTACTGAGTGACTAAATCAAGCTATAATGTCCTGAGAATTTTTTATGTGGAAATGCTTCTGGGTGGTCACATCTGGTGGGCTGTAAAGGAAATCCAACTTATTTGCCTGTTTATGTCAATGGTCATCAGTTCTAAAATGTTAATATTCTTACAGTATGTGATTTAGGGTACTAGTTCACTACATACACATATTGCAAAGAGGGCAGGAAAGTCAGGAAGCTGCAACTCTTTAATCTGACAAATGTTCACACACTGGATGCCGTTTTTGACCTCTCTCTACAAAAACATATAATTGAACAAGTTCTGTGAAAGGAGCTAAACTGCAATACTATTCCTGCATACTACTGCTAATCAAGATTGCTGATGGTCTCCTGCCATTGTGTACACACCTTGGGGTTTTGCACAAAGTAAATGTCTGTTTATCAAAAAAGTATTATTAATACATGCTTAAAGTCTGCTTTGTTCCCATTACTCATGTAACAATAAGCCTACAGTAGCTTGGAATCCCCAAGTTCTAGCTAGGAGCACCAAGTGCTACATTTCCAATGTACCGTATATCTTCTCTCTGAATTTCTGGCATCACACTAGCAATCTCATCATTTATCTAATGACATCTTTGAATCTTTTATAGTCAGAATGTGGACAGTGAGACAACATTGAAACAACCTTCTATAAAGTAGTTAATGACTTTCTAAGGGTTTCAGTTTGTTCATTAGGGTTTAGTACTGGAACTTTTACTATTAAGTATTTGCATGTTTCCTCTATGCCAGGTCATTTGTCACCATGGACTTCAGTTTTATGCTAAGCAGATTTATTTGAAGACCACGATGGGCACTACTGCAATTTCTGTACTTTAGAGATGTCTGCCCAATATCAAGAATTGGATGCATAGACCTTTTTCAAGGTAAATGGTGATACGACTGAGGTTATGCTACAGTACATTACTTCAAAGGCACTATTGTGACTAGTGTGCAGTCATGAAATCATTAGCAGAGATTCATCCTCTCTTCCATTGGTGAAGTACTAAAATTCCAATTGAAATTGTTTGGGAAATGTAATTCAACATGAAAGTGCCATACTTCTGCTATATAACATAGTATTCAATGATATGGCCTCTGGAAATATCTTTTTCAGTTTGGTTTAAAATCTGCACCTTTAGAAAGCAGAACATCATGACGATAAGGACAAAATTGTCAGGACAAATCAGTAACGTGTAATACCTTCAGGCACAACTGGGATACAGACACTGCATTTAGGGAAAGTCAAAACTACCCTTTCTGAACATTCATGTACATAACGGCATTTCAGTTTACGATTTTAACAACTTAGTTTAAAGGAGCATTCTTTTCTGCTCTCAACACATTGATTCATGTACTGGATACTGTAGTATATGAATCAATGTGTTGGGAGCAGACAAACATTATACTGACAGTGTGTTGTTTTTTATTTCAATAGAATGGTGGTACACATTTGTGCAATGGTTTACTAATTGGCTAAACACATTTGTTTCTTTGTGTGTGTTCACGACGTTTTGATTAGTACTCTAAACCCCTTAATTTATACTAAACAGAAAGGATTATCCAGCAAACAATGAGAAGTAAAACAAATAGTCTTTCTTAGTCAGCTTGCCCATTATGTTCAAAAGCCAACAACAAGCCAGCACAGGCATTGTTATCCACTCTCAAAATACATAAAAAATAATATCCATTATGGATCTCATTAATTTAGGAACTAAAATGCAGAGGATGAATCATTACTGTATCACTTGCATGAGTGTTAGGAGCTTTATAAGAGAATAATTTATGCTGTGCGTCTTGGGCTTCATGAATATATGATGTGCTGTATGAAGCTCTGCATTTTTTAAAAAGGGCTTTAAGAAACAGCAGGATAATTGCCACTCCATTATCATTCACCATTCTAGTGTAATTTCTGGTAAAGCCAGTGTATGAAGCAAACTTGTTAATTAGACAGGTTTTCGATGAGTGGTACAAAGGTTCTCCTGGGATCACTGAAGAAGAGCATGAGGATCATAGGATGAAAAACTGGATTAGATTTTATGATAAACTTTAACAAAGCTAATCGTTTCCATGCACCTCAAGCAGAAATAGCAGAAATAGCTTTTTAGTTATAAAATATTTTAGATTTACAGACGTGGAGTTAAAGAAACAAAAGGTCAAAAATAAAACAAAAAAGATATAGGGAACAAGTAAATGTTTATTCCATGCTGAAAGTAGAAGAAAAGTAACACGACATTTTGGCTGTATAGTCTTCTTCGGGTGTGGAAGGCTCCACAGCCAAAATGTGTTTTTTGTCTCTTTTCAGCATGGAATAAACCTTTACTTGTTCCTTTGCAGCCTACGCATGCTGACACAGCTGCCTACTTGAACTACAGTATATATAGATATATGCTCATATATAAAAAATATATTTTAAAAAGTAAAAATAAAGTTTTACACGCATTTCCAGTAGTTCACAGTTCCAGAGAGATAAACAGCAAACTTCTTTTCGTTTATGGGACTGTGTTTGTACAGTAGATATTAAAGAGAAAATGAGCAAATGAGTGAATGCAGAAGCACAATTAAATATATTTAACAGAGAATCTGTCCAAAAGATATGTTAACACAGAGGTATTGTCTGGTCATCATTTTTCTTGTTATCACTTAATTGATATACAGTAGACTTACATCTTAATGCATTTTTGATTAGGCAGAGGCCAAGAATAATGTCTTTTATTACTTTGAAAGAAAAATCTTTTCATTTTCCTTGTACTATGTTTAAGACCAAAACCATTAAATGCTATTCAGTTGTATAATGGTAAAAAAAAATGACCGAAGTAAAAGAATGAAACTTCGCTGCTGGTACTGTATAAAATAAATGCAGATGTAGTGTGATGAAGGCCAACAAATACATCTAAGTAACAATGACATATTGAAATATTTGAAGGAGTATAGTTGATTACATTTTGAGTATGTACTGTATGTGCACTCTTGGTACTGCTAAAATGGGAACATTAGAGAATGGCTGCAACTTCGCATGAGTAAGTGATTAACTATTTAGGTACCAGCATGTAATACACATCAATAGTGAAAAAAGAGGTGCAGCCTCTCAAGGCACAATGGGTGATAAAATTACAACTAGTAAGGGTTTAGCATTCTCTACAAGAGCATTTTTTCCCATCTGAAATGGGGTCTTTTGTAGTTTTCATTTTTTCAGTTTTCTTTTCCAAATTGAAAAGAATAAGGATTGTGTCATAAATAATAGTTTTTCACTGTTTGTGACGCAGTTGTTAGCAACACACACATTTACAGGGGAGCCCCCCTTTACATTTTACAGTATGTACAGATGTCTATTCCGTATTTTTGTGTATACTTGCTCACATTTGCAATCTATGATTCCCAGCACAGCAGAAAATCAGTAAAATCCAAGGAAACTCCACTCTGTCTTTTTTTGCAACTTGTAAGAAACAAGGTACGGAACAAAATCCTCTGTCCATTTTTTTAAACTGCAGTTTCATCTGGTACTACACTGTACACGATACAGTGAGCAGGCTTATGGTTGCAGAACAAGCCACAGGCAGTGGCATGAAATATTATTGCATTGGATAACATTGGTCCTACAGGTAAATAGTGTTTCTATCCAGATCACCCTGAAGAAGAAGGAAGATGTCAGTGGTTGTTTGTCTGTTGTGGAGAAATATTGTCCATATTTTGTGTCAGACAGGATCAGAAAAGTGAAACAAGTTTTAAATATTTGATTATGCCTCCTCCTTAAGCTCTTCTGTCTTTGTATGGGCAAGTTAAACCTTCTGCATCTTTCCATTTTCTAATTGGTAAGCAATGAAGCAATAGATGCAAGGTAGGGTACATCCTGACGGGGCACCAGTCTGTTGCAGGAACACAAACACAGACACTCATATTTGGGCCATTTTTCCCTGAGTCCAATTGACCTATCAAGTCCATGCAGTTAGTATCCCAGGAATTGAACCTAGGACCCATGGTACTGCAACACAGCAATGCTAACCACTGCACCATCATGCAGTGTGCATTTATAGTCAACCATTTAAAATGTTATTGGGATTTATGTTATTTATTGACAAACCTTAATGGCAGAGACTGTGATTTTTACCTGTGGCAAAGACAACATTCTTCGAAACCAGTCGGTGTTCCACAATGGAGAATTGAGGCAACTCAATCCGGGACACACCTGTGACTGCACTGTCCCCACCTCTCCAGTAGAATTCAATATCATCTGTTGTGTAGCCATCTGGATAGCACAGAAAAAAGAGAAATCCTGTAAGGTCCCCGAACAAGAAAGGTCAGCACTCTAGTTCTTGCACATTTGCATTGACATCCAATTACTGGATTATGACTAATTAGCAGGAAAATAGTATAATTGGTGCCTAAAATGCCTAAGAGGAAAATAATAATAATTTTACATGATAATATGGGGATGTAGCACCAATTCTTCATGAGCTAACCAATGTTGACCAATAGTTTGAGGAAAACATGTATGCCAGGTAATATACTGTACATGTACTGTACAGAACATCCATTTGCTTTTGTGTCAGCTGATATTACCAGTGATGACAGGTAGATGATTACTATCCATGATTCATGAAGAGCCAGCTTGAACTACACTGTTTGTATACTTCCATTAATCATATATAAATCTTCAACAACTCCAGTTTTGAAAAGTCAAAACAATGATATACAGTATGAAGTGATCACCAGTCAACTTAATAGCCCTTTCAATTTGTGTGATTTGCATGCACAAGGAGTATGATACCTTGTTTTTAACATAGGTCAACATATTCCAAGTATCTCTGATAGCATTTCTGACATAAAAAATAATTGAGCACTTTTGGAAACCTTAATGTGTTGGGCTTAAGAGCATTAAACAATGTCAGTCATTAGTTTCAACAAGAAAAAAACAATGCTTTTCATAATTAAAGTGGGAGTACTAGTTTAGATGGAAAATCCCAAATTGTGTATTATATAAAATAATAGGTCTCACTCCAACACTCAACATTTAGTTTTATTTCCAATGCACTTCTTTCCACATTTCAGTATGGATCTAGTGATAGACCCAGTTGAGCATAACAAAGTAAATGTATCTTAGTGCCTGAGTCATACAGTCTGGATTTCACTATATTGTTGAATAAACAGGGAATAGGTGAATATTAAAGAAATTATTAATACCAACTTAAAAGGACAGCAAACATCAATTATTATTATTATTATTATTATTATTATTATTATTAGATTGGTTGTAATATTTTTACATTTTAAAAATAAAAACAATGTAATGTTTACATTGCATGTAAACATGCAATGGCTTCCTGATTTACTGTATGCATTCACATGTCTTTGTGGACATCTTACAGCTTTCTATTTCCAAGGTGCAGTTCTGTTCATCCAGTGGGTACCTCCTCAGATCCATCATACAGGCAGCTGTTGTTGTGATCCTAAATCAAAATCAAATTTATGGAGACACCTTTTAAAAAGTAACCAAAGAAATTAACCTTTTCTTGCTTATTTTCAAGCTGTCTAACTTGGAAGTGACCAAGACAAAAGACAATGTGTGCACTGGACAAGCTCTGTGCCTTTTGTTTAGCTCTGTTATTAAATATGTTATCCATGAATTGAATGTGTTTTTGTTTAACAAGGCACTAGCCACCTTCACAGATTTAATTACCTTATTGATATGTCCTGCCTTGCAGTGTGCAGTGCTCAGAGTTACTGCACACAAATGCACACTGAGGAATTCAAATTTGCATCCCAACCACCTCTGATATTACTTTGTTTTAGATATTTGTGAAAAGAAGAAACCTTCAGCAATCGTTGCCTTCAGTATGTTGCTGTGAATTTTTTTGTAAGCATATGAATTTTTATACTAGTGTTGTGGGTTTTAGAGATAATGTAATATCAATATTTCAGGTCCTGGTAACATAACATCAGACCTTAGAAATTATATTAACAGTGCAAGTGTTCCGATTTGTCAACATCTACAGTATATGCAAATTTTGTCCAGTCATTCCAGATCCATCCGTATGAGACCATTACTTAGGAATCGCTTCTATTGTCATAGTCACGGTCTTCAAATATCCCTGCTTATTGGTGTCAAGCATTGTCTTGTAAAATATGCAATACTTAGTTAATAAAAACATGGTGCAATTAATGCACCCTATTAAATACTTACATACAAACTTTCCAAGTGGGCCTGCTTACTCCTTCCAGGAGTAGCTCATGTACTGTGTGCTGAAGTTCAAATCACTGCAATTCACAGTCTGAAAAAGTGGCTTGGACTTTATTCAGGGAGCTTACAGTATATGGTCATGTCAAGTGATTTTTGCAATATGTCTCCTTACTAACCATGAACAGAAATTTTGACATAGTTTTCATGTCATAGGTGAGGTTAATTCCATTTGAGATACAATCATTTGAATTTCACTTCAAGCAGAAAAAAATATTTTAAAAATATTTTTTTTGCATAGTGGAAGTGCCTACTACTGTATATACTGTATTAGGAAACAAACGCACAGTCTCATTGCATTTACAGTACAAACAGCTGTCTTAATGTCAAAATGGTCCTAAGTCATTTTAAAACAGAAAAATTATCTTGCAAATAAATGTATTAGTAAGGGAAGAGCATGCAAGAAGATTCTAAGACTTTTTAATGAGATCAGACAGTGAATACACATTGTGATAAAGTAAAATTAAATAGTTTTGTCTTGGATTAACTTCTCTGAAACTTTTGTTATGTCCAGAAAAGTCTGGAGAGAGATTCAGAAGATATAATGACATGGATAATGTCAGTCACAAAAGAACTTCTCAACACAGTTTGTGATGGAGGGAAAAAATCATGGTGGCACAATACCTTTCTCAACACCTTTTCAATGGTTTACAAACCTTTCAGGATTTCTGTATTTTCATGTTTAAGAGAAGCAGACATAAACTGAACTGTTCCTACTATAGATACTCTCAGAGTCCTATAAGGCCCACCAAGATGAGTCAACTTGTTTGTATACTGTACATTTAGTATTTATTACATATACAGTAATTATGTTGTCCAGAAAACAAGTCTGAGATTAATCCATATTTTGATAAAGTTATGTTTTATGATGATATACGCTTATTAAAGTGGTAACTGTACATTGCCTCAGTTTAATACATTTGTATGATTTTGTATGAATTTATATACTGTAACTTTTATCTATTTTTATTTTGTGTAGCACAAGTATTGTTTTAGAACAGCAGCAAAAAAATGGAAATCCTATGATACATCACTCACGCCATGGTTTATATAGTATTTACCACAAAAAACCATACTGAATACAAAGTATTCTAAATAAAAAATATAGATCAATTAGCATTTTATTAGCAGACTCAAAGCTAAATGAAGAACAAATCAGTCTTTTTCAAAGAAAATCACATGAAAGGACCACTTAAGTGTGCCATTTAGACATTATTTAGGGTTCTGTTTAAAAATAATTATTTCTTTAAACATATTTTACAACTGCTTTGTTGTGGTATTTTGACATTGCCTGATTACTGCTTGATCAGGTGATCAAAGCGTCACTTATTTAAAGTGAAATGGGTGTTAGTGTTACACAAAGTAAATGTACAGTACATTTTGCATTGACCTTTCAGTGTTGGAAGACACAGCATTCTTCTTTGCAGTGCTAATTAAACACTTTGTCTAACCAATGAATTTTCATTGGTTCTGTTAGTCTTTACTGTAACTGCAGGGCATTCCCAATATAGCAAACTATAGTATAAATAGATAAAACCTGACTGTTGACACTGCCTGTGAGATTAAGAAACACTGAGCCTGTCACATGTTCTCTGCAGGCTTTCCCTGCAGCTGAAGTCTGGAGTTATATAATATATTCAGCCACAGCTCTCGTACAAAATCCCCTCAGATGTAAATGTCAAGAGTACTAATGAATTGCAGAGAATGATTTTTTATCTTCACTTCCCGTTTAACAATACCAACCTCAGGCCATATAACACTGTACCATCTGGATGTAGGCGAATCATCCGGTTTTTCACTGTAACGCCATGGACAAAGGATTTCTTATCATTTAAAAAGTAGGTGTCAGGCACCCACAGCTGATCCGCTACCCGGTTATCAAGTGTCAGGTTTAATGGGATTCCTGAATATGCAAGCCTCTTGTCTCTCCAGTACTGTTGAAAGTACATAGTCAATGTGTAATCCTAAAATAAAAAAGAGAAGAAAGAATTATATTAATTTTTTTCCCTGTCCAAATTATAGAACAAGCTTTTCTTGATCTTTTAAAAACTGAGGAATCAAATTAGGACACCCTACACAGAATTCCTGTAATAGGCACTAAACACAGATTGAATCCTGATCATATATTTTTATTATATATTCCTCAGATTTCAAGATTCTAAACACTAGCTATGATGCTAGTCACTAAGAGAAATCTTTAATCTAAGTAAATAGTGGTCGTATTTCTTTTTCCAACAGACAGCAGACCTGACATTGACAAAGCAATATTGCACTTATGCTTTAATTCCTTTAATTCCTTATTGTAATATATTTTTGGCATTTGGCCACTATTTGCTTGAATCAGGATTCATTCACTTTATGTAATCCTCTAAACAATACACAACATATGTGACCTTGGCCATTAGGGAAAATAGTGCTCAGTCCAAAAGACAGTCATCCTTCTGTTGAAAACAAATTGTGTTGCTAGTGGTGTTTGCAATACAGAATGGAGGAATAACACACAATGTTGTGTTTCATGGTACTGTATATACTGAAATGCACAAATAGGAAAAAAAAAATCTTTTTTGTCATCTTAATTCAGGCATCAAGATGGGAGTGTCACTTCTTGGTTCTAAATTCACTGATTGTACATTCTTTTGCGAAAAAGATTCATTTATATGCTTTACATACACTACCAACTGTTATAGAGTATGCCTCCATGAAAAACCTTTGGAAATGGAACTTACAGTACCATGGTACTGTATATCTCAAAGCACTTCACAAAATTAAAACTAATCCCGATTTAAAGTCCAAAAAGTATGGCGGAAACAAATTTTAAACTTTTTGATTCTGAAAAAAAAAACATTTACATTTTTTATCTAGTGATAAAGCTCTAAAACTTTCACAATTAAAAAGCACACCTGCATTTAGTCTAACTACTGTAGATGTTTGGCTTTGAACTGCTATTTAGAGCTCTACCATAAATTTTGTTCTTTACCGAAGCAAAATAAATCAATTAAATCATCCATAGCTCGTACAATGCATGCAGTTCAAAGCTTTCATTGCAATACACGTTACATTTTTGGGATTGGCTTTCTTTACCACTGTCAAGAGCTGTTGACTCAGGGGGCTTCCTCTAGAGAAGACCAGACTAAACCTTATCGAAATGAAAGCTATAACCCACAGACCAGAGCTTGAAATAGATTTTATGTTTGTCAAAGTGTTATTTATAGAACTGCCAAATAATGCTTTGCAAGACTGTGTTTTAGGATCCAGGCTACATTCTACAGACACATTGCATCTTCATTAAGGTTCAGTGCACAGCTCGCTACAAAAGCCTGGATGCCTACAGTAGGTGTCAATGAAGGATAAAACTTATCAATTTGTTTTACTCTTAAGACAGTACAGTACATACAGAACAATCCCTCATCAATAACATTCCTTTAATTTAACTGTTAATTAAGCAATAATTCACAATTTAATAAAACTCCTTTATAAAACACATTTTGCGATAGTTACAGTATGCCTCACTCCACAGAATGTCACCATCATCAGCAAAAATAATGTAATCAGTAAGTTGGCTCCTGAAATCCAATAGAAAAATGTATCATAATAAGATGTTTGAAAACAATACTTTTTTTCTTTTAGGATGATTTTTGAAGATTGTAACAATTAAGATGCATATTAAATGATTTTTTTTGTAATTTAGTTTGGTTTACATCCTGAGGGAAATTAAGACCTAGCACTCTGTCCTTTAAGATATTGTAAACTGTTAGCATAAGAGAGCCAATTTAAATCTCATTTAACATCATCTGTTTGAAAGTCTTTCTTGTCTTATTATTTCACTTACAGGTAGCTACTCGACTACCAAAGAGCAAAACAGGTCATGTGTTTTTGGCATGTGTACTTTTACAGATACCATATTGGATTTTAACTGAACCTTACTGATAATTTAGCTTTTAAAAGAAGTTGCTTGATTCCATTTATGATTGCACCTTTGATGTAATTTAAATATTTAATTGGCTTTGCTACCTTTCAAAACTGTCTGAAAAAGAAAAAAAACTGATTTATCATTCAGTTCAGCAATCAGACAACCGCTAAACCATTTAGGGAAGGTGATACCACTTTATACTGCCTTTTTGTTCTCCTAATCCATTTATAAATGACCCTGCTTTAAAAGGAAATGCAGTCATGAAAGCATGGAGCTGTGGTGAATTAATTTAACAGATTTTGAATATTCAGCAGTTTGTATCAAGAAGGCATTTTTTCAAGGATTTAGGTCTCAGAGATACATACCTCAAAGTACATAGAGTGTATGCTGGAACAAGTTGTTTATAATTTAATCATCTAATGTTCCTTTGGGAGCTTGGTTCTATTAATAAATCCATCAGAGGTAATAATAAATTAACTTTGATATGATGCTTTCCATTATGCTGACTAATAATATATAAATAACTGATAATGGTTACTACATAAATTTGGTATAGTGTATCAGAAACCAATTTGGAAACTGCTTTAGAGTCCCTGCTTTCCTGTTAAATTATTCTATTTCATGTTTCAATCTTTTGACACATTCATGGTATTTTAATCAGAACTGTTTACTTTATATATTATATACATATACATAATATGTTACATACATATTACAATATTCACTGCTTTGAGATATCCTGGCTTAGCCAGTTGTTAAGAGACAATTGATACTACAAAAATAACAAATGCAAACGAAATCTGCTAGTATTTCTGTGAATTACAAAATATAACATGTTTGACAAACTCACAAACACTGAGAACAGCATAGTGACTCTCAATCTTAAAAGTTCTTAGTCTTAATGCAGAACATATCAATTATTTCAGGTGGGTAGCTGCACCAGCATGCATAGTCTGCAAAGGAACAAGTGATAGGTTTATTCCATGCTGAAAAGAAGAGAGACAACACAATGTTTCGGCTGTGAAACCTTCAGGTGTGAAGAAGGCACACCTCACACCTCACACCTGAAGAAAGGCTTCACAGCTGAAACGTTGTGTTTTCTCTCTTCTCTTTTCAGCATGGAATAAACCTATTTCTTGTAACTTATCAAATATTTATGCATTTTTGTCTGTTACATAATTCAGAATTCATTGTTTGGTTTGATACACTTCTGGTTTATATTTCAGTATATACAGTATGAAAGACAAACCATACACTTGAAATCATGTTTTTTGTTGTGTTTTTTTTAAATGTAATTAGCATTAGAAGTTCATCCTGTGATTAAGTTTATATATTCTTTTCAGGAGCAGGTATTTTTTGTGATCAACATTTTTAATGAATTTTCAAACATAGATTGATAAAAAACAAATTAGAACAAACATCAACAATACAGTATCAATACAATACAGTCATACAATTTTATCCAAATACTCATGGAATACTAATTTAATACATATCAATATAGAATACACTATTCAATATGTGTATTTTGTCACGCCCCACACTCTTACTCGGAAACGCCGTTCTGTCCCTGTCACATTCCACTCTCCCTCGCAAACGACGTTACATTCCCGGAACCTCTGCTTCACAATCTCACCCCTGATTGAACCCATCACATTCTCACATGCATCAGATTCCTCAAATTCTCACTCCCTAACCAATCATCCAATCACACCCCTTTCCTTTCAGTATTGAAACCCCCCTTCGCACACCTTCCCATGCTCACTATTGAGAAGCCTCTGCCTCCATGTATGGGTTCTGTGACATTTCTTTTTTTAAGAAAAGAAGCATACTTTGAAACAGCTGTGAAAATCAATTTTCAAGATTGAGTTGTTTTAAGGTTTCCCTTATTTATTCCAGAGGTTGTACATTCTAAGTTTACAATTTATCGAAAAGTAAGTATCCAGTATTTATCTGACTCAATGTATGGGCTCAGCTGTGAAGCTAGCAAAAAGCAGTCTTTTCTGAATTAAAGTAAAAGTAACATAACAATCGTCATTCAACAAACATGGGCAAGGATCTAGTTTGAAATGTACTGTCCTATGTAACAATTAGTTTGACCACTGAAGTACAGACATGAGTCCAGAGGTTGTGGATAACTGGATTTTTCTAAAACATTTGTAATCCAATTCCTACAAAATCTGACATAGTGTACACACTAAGCTTGTAATTTGTCCCACTCTGAACCTTTTATAAGGTGTGACATAAAGAACATCTTATAAATTAGTCAACAAGCTGGTGACTGAGTTTTTTGAGGCTGTAATCGGATTAGACCATTCCGTTCCCAGTTCAGGACCAATTCCTACCTTTCCATCTCCCTCTCCCATATTGCTTTTATTGGCAACTTCTTGCATATACACTCCTTGAGTAATTGTTACTGATCTTTGTTATCTGCCAGCTGGATCAATCCATCTTTTGATTGGATGTAGGGGCATGTTCCATGGCACACCATAAGCCTTTATTACTCATTGAAATCTTAAAGAAAATAAGAAAGCCTGGGAGATTGCATGAGCTTTAGATTTCTTGAAATGTACAGTACATAAACTTGTCTCACCATAAACATCTTTTATCTTATTTATGCCCTTTGAGCTCTATGATATGTATGTGAAAGGCTTGAGTTCTGTCTGTAAATACAAATTATGCCAGATAGGAGATAGCCAATGAAATTTAGGAGGGCTATTCATTATATTTTCTAACTTTTTCTAGGCTTAGTGTGAATTCAGGATGATATGAGTGTGGCTTCACTAAGGAAACATTTGTACTGTAGATCTCCACTGCACTGCAGTCCTCATCCATACTGTAGGTAGGGGACATGCTTTCATGTTCTCAGATGACTTATGCAAGGTGTTCAAAAAGAGATCAAACAGCAGGGGTGATATGGGACACCCTTGCCTTGTTTCTCTGTGCAGCTAAAGAGGAGATGATTGACAATTGCAGATAAATAAGGGGAACAATACAAAGTCTTTATCATGGACATAACATTTGGACCAGACCTAAACTGATCTCCTATCAATA